AGTCAACACGAATCTCCGCCCGAGGATTGCATAAAATCACGTCATTCGCGTTCAATACAACCATACGACTAGGACATCTTAACACTGCTTATCACGATTTCGAAATAGACCTTATGCCATAGAGGGCAATGGTTTTGTATTGCGTGCAAAGGCATGAGTGAACCTTTTATGCACTCATTGTTACTGCATGTAAATTAAAATAGCAAAGGTCATCCTCTGAGTTATTTGCAGCGCGTAAGATTCAAACCACTGAGTCTTGGAAGATTGGTTTATTTCAAAATGTTCTTTTCAGCTCCGACTCATTTTCAGCACATAAGAGCATTATATATGGTACACATTGTTTTTATGAAGGGGAATACCTACAAAGTCTGGGGACTTAAAGTGGTCCTTCGATCGTAAACTGTCATCCATCTGCCCACATTTGGACTCAAAACTTCTGTATATCACCAACAGCGAAACCATGGTTTGTTTTAAGGCATTTTTGCAACCCTACCCACGTCTGAATATATTAGCGATTCATGATCTGTTTTCGTAATACTCTGCATACTGTATATCTACGTGTACGTGTACAATCACCATATGGCAGGAGTCATTTGATATTCGATTCCAATGGACTTTCATACCAGCGTCAAAAACACTTAGCAGACACACCTAGCTTTGATCAAGCTCATTGACATAATGGAAGGAAGCGAGACCCGATTCAAGCACGCTTGTTGTTAATAATTCACAACTTTGACATGTAAGATAACCTCAGCAGCTATAGCATGCAATGGTAGTCTGTATGGGCGATGAATGTAAGTAGGGAACACGCAGCGCCGATGTAGCTTTTAAAGTTTAAGGAAACGGTGCCATGGCCATGCCCCGGAAAGGTTTGAAATATGTGATACTTTCTTTTGCATTCCAAGGCAGTGAAAATTATATTTAGGAACTTTACCATTCAGTTTATTAGTTGTGACCCCAGTCAGTGGCTGAAAGGCGGGTTGCAACACCCCTCCTTCTTGGTACGCCACTGACACGCCTCCATTGGTGGGCGGAAGGACTTTTGTTGAACTATATAGGTTTCCCAGTTGTTTCAACATTGGGAAGGGACATCAGAATAGAATTAGTTTTCGGGTTTGTTCTAGCTTGTGTGAAGTGAAATGAATAGGTCTCTTCTTGATTATGTTTTAAAGGAACAATCCATCATTTTTAAAACTATCTTGAAACCAAGTATGCTTTTGAACATCAATTACGTCAGTTACTTTTTGGATAGCTGCAAATGATGGACTGCGCCTTTAAAGGGTCAATGAAATGAACTTAATACTTGAGCCATATAATTAGCTAATATATATTTCTCTGGAATGTATACAAAAAAATATTAGACATCCGTATAGTTGTAAACGTTTACACTTTTTGTAACAATCAAAAGTGTCATATGTTTTCCCTGACAACTGAGGGCGCTGTTGCCGTGATGTCTTAGATGAACACACTCGTCAGATAAGAGAGTTTCTCTTCAAATAGTAAATCCAAATTCTGTTAATTGTAAAAAAAAAGATTAGTGCATACAGTTCCCTCGAATTCTTACTGTCATATACTTAAGCAACACTGAACAATTGAAAGCAATCAAAATATCAACAGCAAAGCCCTTACATTATGGGGACTTTTTAGGGACACTTATGCTTCAGCAGATGTGAAACTGATATTTCTGCCATGGCGTCACAGTTTTGCTCATGAATATGGAAACTTGCATTAGTATCAAAAAATTAATATATCAAGGCACCCTAAAATGTCAATTTAAACACTCAACATAAAGTTAAATGAAACATGGCGTTACATTTCAAGGAATGCCCAAAATATGCCAGAGTATGCTCCTTTAATGATTAACTCCTAATAATATACGCAGGTTTGGTATAAGTATAATCAATACTAGTAAAAAATATAAGATCAATGAAGCAACCAACGTCAGGAGACAAGAAAAAAAACTGGGAAAACCGTAATACAATGCTGAAATTATTTTGTTTTGTTTATTCAAAGTTTCATATGTCTGAGGGCGCACCTTGGTACATGTTAATATTAACTTCGTAATGATAGGTTTGGTAAGCATGACAAGTGCCAATATCAATACGCGTACATGCAATACGCAATATGATTAGCGAACTAGTTTTGATCGGGAAATAGTCCCGTCGAACGCCAGGTGATGTTTCTGGCATCACGCGATCATTTCACACAGTAAAGCCGAAGTTACAACTCAGGCCCTACTAACAGTCAGCCATCAACAATCGCTATTTGAAAACTACACCTTATTCTTTGATGAACATCGGTGGATTTCTGTCTGAATTTGTACCCAGAACCCAGTGAACCGTCCATTACCGAGGCTGTGATATAGCTGTTTGCAACGATCGAGTTGTCCGTGATGAGTGCAACAGGTAGGAAACGTTAGTCAAAAAAACAAATAATTGAAACAAGTTATTGCCAAAATACTGATATTAATATTACGATTTACTGGCACAAGGTTGTGTAAAATTATCAACAAGACTCCGTGTTACTAAATTTAATTCAGAAACATTTCTTATTCATTCATAAATATCTTAGACGGTTGACCCGTTCCTATTGGTAAAGAGCTCGTCACGTGGGTGGTTTAAACGGTTGATTTAACACTGGAGGGTTGGTCATAAACATTTTGCAATTGGGACTACGAAATTGAAAGGCACATACCATAACAGAGCAAAAGGGTGTTTCAAGAAAATGAGGTAAAATTGTTCAGCAAAATCTTTAGAACGGTTGACCCGTTCCTATTGGTAAAGAGCTCGTCACGTGGGTGGTTTAAACGGTTGATTTAACACTGGAGGGTTGGTCATAAACATTTTGCAATTGGGACTACGAAATTGAAAGGCACATACCATAACAGAGCAAAAGGGTGTTTCAAGAAAATGAGGTAAAATTGTTCAGCAAAATCTTTAGAAATATATTTCTAAATATATATGGGGTGTGTGCAATTTCAGTGGGCCCGAGGACCTGGGTACTAGTCCTCGGGAAGATTTCGTGTACAAACCTTATGGGAGCTGTCGAGAAAAAGTCGACGTAGTACAAACAAAAGGGAACAAAAGTAGGAAAGGGGCAGGTCCACATGAGAATAGTAAGAACGAGCTGGGTCTGCTGATGTGTGTGTTACGTTTTGTAAAGATGAGATTAAGGCAATATAAATCTTTGTAGGTATATACGAGGTATATACGAGGCTTCTTACACTTGCGAAATACCAATTCTGGCCCGCTGTATATTGAAGCACTATATGTTGCAGGACTACTTCGATAGCGTTCAAATGGACTTTCATACCAGTGTCAACAACACTTAGCAGACAAAAGTAGCTTTTATTCAACTCATTAGTAGGGATCCGAGACCTGCTAGATGCTAACCTACTTGTGGTTAATAATTCACAACTTTGACCTGTAAGATAACCTCAGCTGCTATGCATACAATGGTAGTATGGGCTACGAATGCACGTAAAGGTGCAACACGAACTGTATGGATGAAGAGCTGTTTTTTAAACTAGTACAACAAGTACTTACTGTACTTTGTTCCTGGTCTGTCTGTCTGTCATTAGTTGTCGGTCTGTTGATAGGTTTTCGTTTAGTTGCTCATTTTTGATTGTTTCTGTCTTCCCATAATGGTCTCGTTATACATTGTACTTGTCACCTTCTTAAATTTGTATTGTCTTTTTATCATTTATTATATTAATCTAGGTCCTTCATATGCCATTTTTCCCCTAAGCATGTATCTTTTACTTGATTAGTTTGTTCTTACGTTTTAATGCTAATGTGCTTGTACTTTTACTATTTTATTATTAATAATTTTAGTGTAACAATATGTAATTTTGAAATTTTGTTTTGTTTTTGTAATTTTATTTTATTATTTTTTTTTGGTTAATGATTTTTAAGCGCCTTGAACGTCAATTTGAAGGATTTGTATACGTGCAAGTTGTGGTTCACATCAATCAGTAAATCTTGACGTTCAAATATGAACAAACACACTTAAGAATGTGTTCCTATAATGACATCACAGCAATTAGAGCGTCCTCAGTTGTTAAGAGAACCAGAAAACCACGGTTAAACATGTTCAATGTTTAAAGGGGCACTGCGTCCTGAAATCCCCGAAAATTTCATGTTTTGGATTTTTACTTATCCTATTTTAAACACCTGGTTGAAAAGAAACCAACCTCATGCCTTACCGTACCCGAGAAAAGACGAACAAAATCGGTTGTTTACATCGGACATGTCGGAGTATGATACGTGTTTCCTGTCGTTTTCAAACAATGTACGATACACGTTGTGTGTGTTTAATATTACACACGTACACACACATGTTTACGTTACATACCAAGTGTTGACATTCCCTTGGTTTCGTGTTGTTAAGAAAAATCTCTAAAAAAAATCATTTTACTCTCACTGTAAAAATCTTTCAATCCATTCTTTTTCTATGATTCCCTTTCGTGTTTCTTTTCTTTTCTTTTGCCACGGATACAACTAACCCAAAAATGTTTCTAAACCTGTTTTCCAGAAAGGGGGAAAAACTATGTGGACTTGCCATTTCTCCATTGTTGGTGTTCGCATCTGCCCAGATTCTACGCCACTCAGTCTAATTAGGATCAATGACATCAAGACCCTCTAAAGCCGGCCTTAGGTCGACCCACGATTCGTTTGCGCCACGACGGAACCGTCGGCATCAAATACAAAAGTTATGCTAAAGTCACAAAACTGAAAAATCGTATGATAGTCGCGGAACACGTCGCAGCAGTTGAAAGTTTTCTACTCTTGCCACTATTGATTTTTGTTGAGCGCCGCCTTATGCCGTTCATTTTAATATCGTCGCAGTTACACTCAGGTCGCACTGAATCGGTGACTGAGTTGTTCGCGACGGTCGTAGCTCAGACGCAGCTTGATAGCAATAATGTCCACCTGTGTTTATTACAAGGCCTTTCCTTCATATTCGTTCAGTGAGAGTACTTCTACCTTGTTACTACCAAGATGCCGAGAAAGACCGTTCAGCAGTTGGATGCATACATTAAGGCAACAGCCGTCGTGTGCGACCACTCCAACACCAAACTCATCAGCAGGAAGACTAAAGTCAAACCAAGCAGGAAACAAGCTTTCCTGTCTGGACTGCATTTCGGGAACACGTCTTCTGATGCTTCCTATGCAAAGAGGAGACCATTGAAACGATGGATTCGAAGAGAATCGATGGGCACTCGCCAAAGTCAAAGGTAAACAGCAATGACATTTACAGAGTCATACATTGAGACAAATAGAAGCTATATGAGAATTGTAACTTTATTTTGAAGGATTTATTTGATGTTTGATTCTTTACAAATAGTTGTTTAAAAGTTTTTAAAAAATTGTACAATTAAATGCAACACCTTTATTAGAATAATGTCAGTGACAATTGTAGTTTCAAAATAAATTCTTCGTTGATCTCATTCTATTGTTTAATAATTTATTTCTAAAACTACACAGTGTTTCCCCCTATTTTCACAGTAATACCGAAGACGTAAAACAGAAACTGCATCTCTTTGTCCGGACTTCCCACTCAAAAAAAACCAAGACACTTTACTTTGAACTCCATCCCGAGACATCAGTCACATCTCTCAAAGAAACAATCCAGAAGAGAATTGATGTTGAGGCACGATATCAGCGTCTGTACATCAGGAGAAACTTTCAGGTAGGTATACTTTAATATCAATACAGATAATTTGAAATATCCCATCTTAGATATTGGTGTGATGTGATTTTCCAAATGGTAATATAAAACGTAAAATCGCACATTTTTATGTTTTAATCAATGTTATTTGTATTGATGATACACACACGTTAAATACACAAACACATTACAATTAATATCTCCATACTAAAGATTAAACGAACATAATTTCAATTCACAATTAACGAAAATCCACTGTGTTTCCCCTGATCGTTTAACTTATTTTCAAACAATATTCACTTTGGTAGCTGTGTGACCTACTCACACTTGAGGAGAATGGTGTCGGCAAGGATGAAATCATCTCTCTCCATCTTTCAGTAGATGGTCCAAATGATGACAGTGTAACAAAAGGTAAACTACAAAATGTGGGAATAGAATTTTCAAGTAAATAAACTGAATCTTGATTTGATATATTAATTAAGAAAAAAGGTGTATTTTTGGGTTTTAGCTTTAGGTAATGATATAATTTCTTTACGTTGGTAACTTATACGGTGGTGGACGCATTTGAGAATGTTTCACTTAAGTGAATCATTATTTTGGTAGACAAAGCCAACATTGATGATGAGTACCTCAAGGACTTGTCTTCGAAAAGTGAATCATCATGGAAGGAACTAGCTGAACATCTAGGATATGAAGAAGCGGAAATTGCAGACATCCAATCCAGCAACGAAGGCAGCAATGAAGCTGGCCGTCACATGCTACTCACTTGGTGGGAAAAAACGACAGATCACGACGAAGCAGCTCAGAAACTGAGACTAGCATTGGAGGCCATTGGGTTGACTGATTTGGCCCAACATGTACCAGGTACGCTAGAAGTGAGGACCAATTTTTTAAATCACACCTCACGCATTTGACAGCAAATAGGCCATTACAAAACCTGCTACTAAAAAAAAACAATTAGAAATACTATGATGCACTCTGTTTTCCTGCTTGTATTAGTAACGAATGAATCAAGAGACGAAGCAGCTAGACCCGAGTCAGACAGGCGTCATGATGCAGGAGTTGACGAGGAGAACAAAGAAAGCAAGGCGGCATCAACCAAGGAAAAGACACAGAAAAAGTAAGACATTTGTGATTTAGACAAACCTCGGCGCATCTGGTAAAACGTGATTAAATGCTGCTATTTGTACTGCACATTGTGTTTGAAAAATTACCTAGGCATCACATTTTATTTTGTAAAGAACTAAACTTTTTATTTGAAAAAAAAAAACAATATTTCCTCACTTAAACATTGGTGTACAAAAATGGTTACAATAATGGTCCATGGTCTTTACTTTCATTACTATATTGTAATTGCCAATTCAACCTAATAAAAGTACATTAACATGCAAAACATGTTTTTCTGACAGTTTCTTCATCCGATGTCACCTGACACAAAAGCCCAGAACGCTTTGTTTTCAATTGGATCCAGAGACATCTGTCTGGTGCTTAAAACTTATATTAAACGAGATCATCAGTGTCCATCCTCAACAACAACGATTGTTCATCCGAAGAAACTTTCGTAACTTCGAGGTAAAAATGGCTCCACATTTTTCAAAATTACCATGTTGTAAAGTATCATTCAATATTTCATTCTAAAGAGGCCGTGGATGAGAAGCAGCACTATCAGTTGAGTACAGACGCTGCTCTGATATCGGTACAATTATGTTGTTTCACTAAAGTTCAGGAAACATTAAATAATTAATTGCTGGCGGGAATGGTTCCTTAAAGACCCACCGATTTAAAAACGTCTCAATTTGAAAATTCACCACTGAAAAAAATGTTTCCTTAATTATGTTTTAATCCTAACCACCAGACTTTCGTCTTTAAAAAGCCTCCGTTTAAGAGAGTATTTTGTGAAGATCTTGAATATTGATTTGTTTCAGCTTTGTAACTTGCTGACACTTTATGACTGTGGAATACAACAGGACGAGAATATCTCACTCCGCCTGTGTACTGATGGCCTACTGGGCGGTGGACCAAAAGGTAAAGTAACATAATATATCTTGGCATGCCACATCCGCCTATCAAACTATATTCCTGCTTGAGCACATACGTTTTATGTCATCTATGCTTTAAATGTTTCATAACTTAGATGGAGTGATCCTTGGGTAGGGGTTCGTCACAACTCTTCAAAATTGGAGGTCAAGGGTCATATAAGGGTTTTTTGAGGTCTTTGTATTTGTACAAAACGTATTGCACGGAAAGGCGTGAAAGTAGGTCAACAGAGATTTTCGTCTCCACGAAGGGATGGGCATCTTTGTTACATTATCAGCTGCGCGCCCGTAATTGAACACGCGCGCGATTCACTATGGAAAAACTATAGATATAGAATAAAAAGACTACATCGGCAGTGCGTGCATACGCACCATACAGTGTGCACAAATGTACCCGTTCCGTCATGGACGCTCTACGCGCAGTACTTAGTGCGTGGAGCAAAACGTGCGTTACGCGTACCTACATTCCCGTAGGTTTGTGCACAAACTTGCATTTTTATGTCCGTAAAAGTAACATTTTTGAACAGTAGTTATTATGTCTCCAACAAAATTCAATATGCAATTTCAAGCTGGATACTTACCTCGAAGTTTGCTCTGTTTTCCCCTCGTATTTATTTGGTTTCAAAATGGTGGTGGGCGTTGCTAAAAATCTCCAAATATCATGTCAGCTTATCTGTTAAAATTGTGAATACAAACATTGTTTTAAACAATGAAAAGGAAAACGTAGAATGTAAACACTGCTTTAAATTACTTTTGTATTATTTAAAATTAAAATTGTGAAATGTTTGAATGGATGATTTTGGTGATTTGTGCTACAATATATTATTATCCTTTTCTAGATGAGAACTGTTTACTTGGATTGCATTTTATATGTATGACTTTTAAAGACAATAATACTTCCACCTGAAAACCGTTTTAAGAATGAAATTCAATTACCCTCCCATAATGTTGGGGTCGTATCATAAGTCCGACGCCTCATAGGTCCGACGCCTCATAAGTCCAAAATGTCGGACTTATGAGGCGTCGGATTTATGATGCATAAAATGTATTTATTCCGCCTCATAGGTCCGACACCTCATACGTCCGACGCCTCATAAGTCCGACGTCGGAAAAACGAGGCGTTTAATTTGTCGGACCTACGGTGCGTCGGAGCTATGAGGCGTCGGACCTAGGAGGCGTCGGACTTATGAGGCGTCGGACCTATGAGGCGTCGGACTTATGAGCGGACCTCATAATGTTCCAGTATTCTCAATGCATTGGCGGATTCGAACGTTTTGGGAGGATGGGTTGAGGGGTACGGATGATGGGTGTGTTGTTGTGCATATTTCGAAAAAGCGTCAGGGATATTTGACCTCAAGTTGACGCTAAGAGTGGTGGCGTGACCAGGCTGGGAGGGGGGCATTGGTAGATTGCAACATCATGAAGATCTTAAAAGCGCAATCGGGAAAGCCGATAGAAGCAAAATCGGGACGGTAAAAGTTATGATTTGCAATGAGCAATAAACAAAACCACTGCTACTCATAGGCAAACGAGATGGGTAAACTGTACGAACAATTTAAAAAGAAAAATCTAATTAACTCCTCAAATTTATTTCATGTGCTCTACCCATTACTTTTTTCAACGTTGTGAGATTCTTGCGCTAGAGGAGTGCACAATAACTCAAATGTTTTTGTTCTATTTTTTGATGAAGGTCTGGGGGAGGGGCGTGAATTCCCCCAGTATCTAACAGTACAAAAGTATATCTGATAACGGCGGATGTAATGTCCTGAAGAGGGACAATGGAGAAAATAATGTTCTAGGTGTTGTCCCTGAAAAAATGAAGAAAAGAGCACTTAAACAACTGGATGCAAGGTGTTGTTTTTTAGCAACGCGCACCAGCATTTTAAAACGGGAAATAAATACGAGAAATAAAATGGACCAAACTTCGAAATGATTATGCAGCTTGATAACCCATTTTGAATTTTGTTGAGGAAATAACTACTACAGGTCAAAAATATTACTTTTACGGACATAAACATTTATCTTTCCATGCAAACCTACGAAAATAAAGGTGCGCATAACGCAACTTTTGCCCCACGCGCTGGGAAATGGCGCCTCCCATGATGGTAGAACGCGCGTCTGTACGCACTGCCGATCTAGTCTTTTTATTCCTGTGGGGGAAATACGTTGAACAAGAAGGGCGTAATTAATTAATGTGGAAATGTGACATTTTCGTTTTCACGAAGAGACTGGCATCTTTACTAATTAATTTTGGCTCTTTAACCACTATGTGAAGTATAATTACTGGGTTCAAATTAACGTTTACCTATCAAAAAATTACGTCACGGTTTTATTATTGCATAAAGTTGTTGCAAAGTAGTAGTTTTTGCAGTTTTAAAAACGGAGAAACTTCTCTTGCGATTATCTCGAAAACAGTTTTTCTTCAAAATCCACATGCCTGTCTCTTCGTGAAACTGGTAACCAATTGTCTTCAAACATCACCAGCGAGCCAACCTCATTTAAAAATAAAAAACAAAACAAAATTCAAGTCCTTTTGAAGGCCCGTCTTTTAAAAAAAAAAGGATAAATAAATCATATTGTGTGCCTAGCCAGGGTTAATTAATAAAGATATTGTGTACTACAATTTACTAGGACGTCACAAGAAATCAAGGCAGCCAGTTGGCACTGGTTATAAAGAGCAGAATGTCACAATGAAGCGAAAGTCTTCTAATCAACAAGATTCTGAGAGGACCATCAAGAAATCACGACAGGCCGCTGGCACTCAGCCTGATGATGACGCTGGTACTTCCACCAGGCCGTCTACAAGTCAGATCACCCAAGCATCTGGAGTTACATCACGGGAGGAGGTTGGCACTCAGCCTGCTGATGATGCTGGTACTTCCACCAGGCCGTCTACAAGTCAGATCCCACAAACATCTGGAGTTACATCAAGGGAGGAGGTTGGCACTCAGACTAGTGATGATGATGGTACTTCTACCGGGCCGTCTATAAGTCAGATCCCCCAAACATCTGGAGTTACATCACGGGAGGAGGTTGGCACTCTGCCTGCTGATGATGCTGGTACTTTCACCAGGCCGTCTACAAGTCAGATCCCACAAACATCTGGAGTTACATCAAGGGAGGAGGTTGGCACTCAGACTGCTGATGATGCTGGTACTTCCACCAGACCGTCTACAAGTCAGATCCCCCAAACATCTGGAGTTACATCAAGGGAGGAGGTTGGCACTCAGACTGCTGATGATGCTGGTACTTCCACCAGGCTGCCTACAAGTCATGGCGTTGGAGTATCAGAGGACGCACCAATTTGTACGTACAGAGTCATTATTCTGCAATGTTCTCATTATAGAAACTGTTTAAATCTCTGTTTAATTTGTACGTTTAACGTCATTATTCCTCAATTTTATCATTATAGCCTTTTATTTTAAAATAGGGTTATCTTCGTAAAATTTTTTTTATGAAAATCTGGCGTTAAGAGTTAAAACACAAAAATACGAGATTGCGCAATACCCTGCTATACACATCAATGCAACTACTGGCGGGATTATCGGTTGTTTCTAATCAATCCAAATCGAAGTGCGGGTAAAAAAAATCACAAGTTCTACCTTGACAAACGTTTCTTAAGTACAAAAGCAGTTGACTGTCATCTATATTCAGGGAAGTCAATTTTTTTTGTCTGAAAAGTATTTGATGATAATTAAACACCCCAGACACTAATATGACGCCTAAACTTCACAATATCCAATATATCCGTGTTTTTTCATTTTTTCATCGACTTTTCTGCACCCCGGAGTTGACACTTTTTTGGCCCTCTTTTGTGTCGCCTAAGCGAGGCTTTTGGGAACACCTCCCCGTATGATCGACCAATACGAACCGTATGGCCTTTTTAAGTTAAAAAAAAAAGTATAACTTCTAAACGCTTTCATGGATTTCGACTTAACTTTGATATAGTGACACTTTGTTGAACAGACACAATTTTCCATCAGATTACCGATGTCTACGGTCATGTAGGGTCATTGGAGGTGGTTGTTTAAATATGCTGCAAAGTGTCTTCGTCTACAGAATTTGATGGATTATAATGTCACTTGGAAGTCGTTCTTTAAAAATGCACATGCAACTACGGACCACTTGTTGTTAATCCGATCTACGTCCAACTTGGCATACACCCAGACCATAATCTGAAGACGTGCAACGAATCATGACGAAACGATGACGTCATTGCTGGTCACGTGACACAACCGTTAAGGTGCATTCTGTGCAGGCCAATATCTCCTGAATTACTTGTTTGATGGGTTGAATCTACATGTACCTATACCGGGATGCGATATATGCAAAATTTGAGATGACGTAATGATGACGTCGTATGTGATTTTATATGGATGTTTTAACTTTACAGTGTCTCGCCATATCTCACGAACGCAGCACGCGACAATCAGATTTGTGTTTGTGATAGGTTTTAAAGGAATACATGTGTAACGTCCTGATATGACGTCATAAGAAAAATCGGTTTGTTTTTTTTTGTTCAAAACATAGATAAGCGGAAATCAGATCGACACAAACTCTGCAGACAGTAAGGTATTGTAATTGCTATACAAAATCAGAACTTACGTCATGAAGACGTCATTTGGTGGACCTTTACCGATATTTTTGTGTGTATCGAGCCAACATTTGACACAAACCAAGACCGCATTATACATGTCAAGTGTCGTCGTGATGACGTCATCATATACATGTAAGCGACGCTTTATTAAAGGTGAATTTCTCAAACTCGTATACAAGCCGCATTGGCTTACAATTTTGCAGATAAGGAAAAAGTCAGGCACAACTTAAACGAAATGACGTCATTAAGTTATTTATTTCATTTATGTTATTATTTTTTGTTTTAAACGAATAACGAAAACTCCTCTAGAGCCACGAATCAGACAAAGAAAAAAACAGTTATGACCGAAAACACAATCTTACTGAAAAATAATACTAAATAAAGGAAACACAAATCTGTTACACTTGATGTTGACCTTTCGCTTCCAAATACTGTGAAGTCATCAAACCGGAAGTTAGATGTTATCAATACATACACTTTTACTTACCATATTAACCTGGGTTATTTTCAATTAATGATGAACAGGTACAACAACATTATTATTCCTTTCCTGTTGAAGCCATTAATCGGAAATAACTTGTAGCTTTCCCTAACATGTACGTATACGGAAATTGATCGTACCACGACATATTTTTTTTTTCAAACAAAACACATGGTTGTACTGGAAAAGCTAGCTTTTGTGATTTGTTTTCTGTTCTGTAAAATATAATACCAACTTAACTTGAACTAGGAAATGTGTAATGAAATAATTGTTTGCCCGACCACTCTCCGTATGTATCTCAACAAATGCAAACTTCTAGTAGTTTAATTAGTTTTTGGATCTTGACATTTACATTCAATTTTCACCTGCAAGAAATGTTTTAATGAACCACAATTGAATTTAATTGAATTAAATTGAGTTGATTTTAAGAATGATATTTTCAATCTCTGGCAGGAGCTTCTACGTGTCACTTGGTAGTCGGTCAGTCGGTCGGTCTGTCTGTATGTCCGTCCCCTAAAATTGACAAAAAATGTTTGACCAAAAATAATTGACTTATTGACTTTTTGCCATACGACAGTTTTCGGAACACTGGTTTTGTTGCTTTCGACGCACATGCGCGTTTGTTAATACATACGATTGTCTTCGAAGATTTCCAAAAATAAACCCCTAAGTTTCCCATAAATTATAACTACCAAATTGAAATTAAAAAATCAAACAAAATATGTGTTTATAAAAGCTTGTAAATGGAGGCAGGATATGTGGAGTTGTGTGTTATTGTCGGGTGGTACTTTGTGTAGTGATTGGACGGTAGACAGAGGGAGGAATTATATTGTCCCCAAAATTGAGCAAAAGGATAGTTTTCCATATGTGCCATTGGCGTCGCATTTTTCACCAGAGCTTATTATCCACTCGCAATTGTTATTCTTGCTTTTGATTGTAGACCCACACAGTACTCGAACCATCATAGCAAACACCGGGCATATCGGTGCAAAGAAAGTTCATATCACTTGCAACTTGACGTCGGAGAGACCGGGTAAATATAATCATGCTCGATACAATAGAGTAGTTTGATTTCTTAGATTTAGTGTTAATGTATTTTTTAAAGGGGGAGGGGCATGGCGAGGGTTGTATCAACGGGGAAGAATTTTCAGTTCTGTGAGCCAGAGAGTCACCAATTTTATTATGCTGGACACAGTATGGGGGTGGTATTTGCATTGGTTAAATTCTTGTAATGTGTTCTTTTATGGGTGCAGACATGTAAATAGGCCCAAAACTGCTTACGCAGGCCAAATCACAATTTGTATGCCCTCCAATGTTGTTATTATAGGGCATTTTGTGGGCCATGAACATGAAGCTCTGTAGACAATATTGATTGATGCCGTACACAGGACTGCGAGCTCGTATGTCTCAAATTTGGATCATAACAGTGGGCCCAAGAATTGCTCTTATTTGCAATGCGCACAGGCATCGTTTTCAAAACGGCGGTGGGCCACATGACCACTTTTCGGGGTGGAGTTGTGTTATGGTCGGGTGGTACTTTGTGTAGTGATTGGACGGTAGACAGAGGGAGGAATTATATTGTCCCTAAAATTGAGCAAAAGTATAGTTTTCCATATGTGCCATTGGCGTTGCATTTTTCACCAGAGCTTATTATCCACTCGCAATTGTTATTCTTGCTTTTGATTGTAGACCCACACAGTACTCGAACCATCATAGGAAACACCGGGCATATCGGTGCAAAGAAAGTTCATATCACTTGCAACTTGACGTCGGAGAGACCGGGTAAATATAATCATGCTCGATACAATAGAGTAGTTTGATTTCTTAGATTTAGTGTTAATGTATTTTTTAAAGGGGGAGGGGCATGGGGAGGGTGATATAAACGGGGAAGAATTTTCAGTTCTGTGAGCCAGAGGGTCACCAATTTTATTATGCTGGACACAAGGTTTGGGTGTGGTATTTGCATTGGTTAAATTCTTGTAATTTGTTCTTTTATGGGTGCAGACATGTAAATAGGCCTGCTTACGCTTACGCAGGCCAAGTCACAATTTGTATGCCCTCCATTGTTGTTATTATAGGGCATTTTGTGGGCCATGAACATGAAGCTCTGTAAACAATATCAGTTGATGCCGTGCACAGGCCTGCAAGCTCGTATGTCTCAAATTTGGATCATGACAGTGGGCCCAAGAATTGCTCTTATTTGCAATGGCTCACAGGCATCGTTTTCAAAACGGCGGTGGGCCACATGACCACTTTTCGGGGTGGTCATCATTGGATGAAATGTTTTCCCTAAAGTCATCGGACGACCACTCAAAATACCTTTATATTCGGTGTTAACGAAAGTATTAACATTCTATACACAATACCAACGAGTTTACATTGATGCCTTTACTTCTTGTTCTTAAATCTTTATCCAGGAAGTGCATCACACCCATCAACAGCTTCTCATCGGCTAGGTTTAAACCCACAAAATGCTGGCACAGGTAAGGATGTATTGGTGTTTCACGAGTATGTTATAATTAAGGCAACTTTAAGATGGCGAGAAAATAGTTCTAGTAACAGTTTTTGCAACATGTCGTCACCGTTTTCACGAAGAGGCGAATTTAGTATTGGTGTTTTTTTTTCATTAAACAATTTGAAACTTAAAGATGCATGAAATATGCAAGATTTAGGTATCAGAGGAAAGAAGAGATTCTAATCTTCCTAAATGAAGCAAACTTGAAGCAAAATAGTTCATTATTTTTTTAGAATTAATGAATTACGAAAAGTGGTTGTTCGTGAAAACGAAAAAAAAAAGAACGGCAAATTAGCAAATTCGCCCATTCGTGAAAACGCCAAAGTGAGTACGCGCAAATTTCGCCCTACTGCGTTCTGCGGTCTGAGTCATTTACAGTACGCGCAGATCTTGCCCCACTGCGCCTGCGCCTTAAAATTCGCCCCTTCGTGAACACTTTTCATTGCCCGCGCCTGAAATTCGCCCCTTCGTGATAACGCTTTATTGTATTACAATGTATTTATTTACTGAAAGTTTATTAAAACCATAGAGTGCGAGAATGCATCTCTGCTGTTACCCATCTTTCAAATTGGAGCGCTCTCCAAAACTGACCATTATCGAGTATACTATATTATTATATGTACAATTTCACGGCGCATTGTAATGGTTGATGAGCGGGTTTTCTTTGGTGGGATTGATGTCAGCAGAATTATATAAACACTTCAAATCATTGCTGACAAAAACCAAAAAATGTCTAAAAACCGCCGGGGGTGCAAAGTTCCCCCCTTGCCCCCCCCCCCCCCCCCCCCCACTGGATACACCACTACTGATGACGTCACACTGTGTGTACGTGTGTGCTTTCCTATGGTGTTTAGTGGACCGTGGGCCCCTATTGGCTCCATAGGAAAGTGCATAAAGTTAGTGTAAACAAACTGTGGCGTCATCACGCCAGAGGCTTATTGCTTTTAGGGGAACATGTAAAATGTCGTCATCATATGTGTATTTATATTTCCTAGTTCAATAGTCGCAGTGTCACTAGCTCAATTTGATGCATAGGATAGCCTCCACAGAAACGTCTGCTCCGATTAAAATTTACATGCACAAACGGGATCCATCCATTCGAGCAGTTTTTGTCAGTCACGTCTTCAAATTGGTGTCCACGTTGTCAATGTCAAAAATGTTTGTCAGCGGGCGTTGTAGCGCGCGCGCCTGGCGCACGCACGCCTTTGCGCGTGTGCGCTGCGCTTACAAAAAAATCGTTCGAATTCATATTAATTTGTTCATTGATTTTACATACAAATGTTAAATACACATCGTTAATACTAGAAGTGTGCTACAAATGCCAACAAAGTCGTAAGTAAATTAAAATACTCTTCATTGATTCGTTCATTTTCAAACTGCATGGATATTCATGACCAAAATATGATGTATATTGTAGCTTAATAATTGGAACCTAACGTAATGTTTGTATTGTTTTCATATTATTTTATTGTTACAGATTAAACGAAGTTATCACCAGTTGTGTGATGTCGGTGACCAAATTATTGTAGCGCAGCCGCCGCCGTCGTTTATCTTCTACACACGTTGTACAGTGGTGTCTCCTAAGGTGGTGCACTTCGATTACGTTGTTGCCAAACCCTTTTGTCGACTAGCATCAAATGCATTCAGTCAAGTACTGGTACTATTGCCTTAATAACACTTGCTATTGCACCGTTGTCAACAATTTCAATTACATAACATTAGGTCCGAAATTCCCCAAGACGGTGGCTCAGTTCACTCAGAGTACATTTGTTTTGTCATTTGTTTCATATTGTTTGTCCCACTGCCAAAAAAGGCATTAATGGAGAACGCCTTGTTTAGTTCCTTAATTAATTACCACAGGTATTTAATTAGAAGCTCAATTGAATATTCGATTGATTTAAAATATTTACAAGAGCACAAAACAACAAGAATCATTGAAAAAAAGGTCTTAATGCAATAATATTTCGATGTTTCTATACGCATGGCGGTTACTTCATCGGTCCGGCGAGCTAACGATTTCCTGGGTAAAAATAAATGTGTCATGTGTAACATATACGTAGGCCTAAACCTTTCTCAATCGACAGGAACTTGGGATATGAACTCGTGTCAGGAACAGCTAAAACAACAATACAACAAAAGTGGCTTCATCTCTAAACACCCCATCAGTACCAAGGAAGAACATCGGGTGGCGGTTGATGGTATTTATACCGGGTTACTTCTGTCTCAAGATGATTATACACAGCTGGTTAAGGAAAGGTTAGGGCAATCCGAAATCAATAAAGCTAAAACAAAACCATACGACTCTTTTGAGGACTTGTTAGATGCCGAAAAGATTAAGAAATTGTTAATTATTCTCTCAGGTGGAGCTGGACATGGGAAATCAACTATTTTTAAGAAAATCGTGGATACTTGGGCAAAACGTGACTTATTTTCCAATTTCAGGCTTTTATTTTTTCTCGAGTTAAAACACATGAAAACCCCCTGCGTCATTGATGCAATTTTAAACCAATGTTTTCGGAAAGATAAACAGCCTAATCGCGCTGATTTAATCAGGATAATTACTGAAAACGAAAAGGAAAGTGTGTTCTTATTAGACGGTTTAGATGAACTTCGGCCCGATTTGCTTGAGCCTAAGGAGAATAATACATTTTGTCTCTATAACGTATTGCATAACAAGGTTTTACGAGACAGTCGCGTGTTGGTGGCAACACGGCAACACATGGTGGATCGTCTTCTGAAAGACAACCAGACATCATATGCTCGCGTTCATACAGAGGGATTCTCATCCAAAGGCATCAATCAGTATATCAAGAAGCATTTCTCAGATGATCAGACAAATAAAGCAGACAAGTTAATTCAATGCTTACAACGAAAGGAAATGTGGAAGAACATGGCGCATATTCCACTTCTTTGTCAGATAATGTGCGTAGTTTTCAGTGAAGATGATGAATTGCCTGACCGTAAATCGGCACTGTACAGACGCTTCACAGAGGTTCTTGCAAAGCGCCGCTGTCAAGAAATTGAAAACTGGTCGACGAAGTTGGAATCTGAACTCAAAAATCTTGGAAGGGTGTCACAAGATGTGATAGATTTATTAATCAAGTAGTGATCATTGTTTTTATTCAAGTAATTAATTATTGGATTATCACTTATACATTTATTTTTAGCACAAGTTAATTTAATTCTCCCCCATCCAGAAATGAAGCTACCCAGAATGTACAGCACAGTTAAATCTTTCTTATGTTAATGCAGTATGCAAATTAATGATTTGGTTGAGTAATTTTGTTAGCACTTAGATGCCATGTGCATTCCCCAGGGCACTGCTATTTTAGCCTTCACTGTGTGCAGTCACCTTATATTCCTTTGGGAGTATATACAGTGGTACTGTGTGTACCAGGGCGCGGCCCATGTTTTAAAAGCCAGTTTTGTCAGTAAACTGTAAGTATTTCTTTCATTGTAAATTTATTAATCATTAGTCAGTTTGGCAAGTAAAGAGTTTACAAAATGGTGTGAGGAGGTTTTTTGGAGAAAACATTCATTCCAAGAACTGAATTTTGAAGCAGATCTTAAGGATTGAAAATTGGAGTTCCCTTTATATTTGTGATTTAGTGTTCTGTGGAAATACAGGGATGTAGTAAAATATAGTTATGAGAGTATGGCGATTTTAGGGGAATTTTCATTTCGCAAAAATGTAACTGGAGTTGTGGTTGAGGATATAGCGCATGTAAATTTTATTTAATTGGTTGCAAATTTTTGGAATCTTATAGTTGTAGTGTCATGGTGTATTATGTTTAATCTTTCTTTAAAGGGCTTTTCCCTGTGTGGGACTACGGGGGTTTGCCTGTCCTTAGTGGACTACGAGCCCATTGATCCTGTGTGGACTGGGGGTAAACACTACGCACCCGACTATGTGAGTTCTGTGTGAACTACCACCGCATGTGCACGTCTAATGGTCCTGTGTGAAAGCCGACTGTGCCGTGTCATCAGGTATGTACACAGTTTCTGTGTGAAATTGCAGTATGTAACCCCGTAATTCCTTCCATCGGCGAGGTGAGCTATCCGACAAGGGAAGTACGCACCTCGATCCATCGTCCTAAATGGAGACGCCGGACGTCCAGGAGTAGGCCCATCTATAGACCCTTACCTGAGCTCAGTGGTGGAGACAGATCGCGTGAGTTTCACAGTGTCTTACTCACGGGGTAGACTTACCTCAGAAGGAACACCCTACCAGACATTACAGCCGACAACGTCGGGAGTTCAGCTCTCCTAGAACTGTCCGCTCGTCCCCAGGGATCAAGATTAATTGCGTTGATTGTAAATAGATAATTATTGTGGTGGTGGGTAAGTTGTAATATTAATTGAATAATTGAATAATATTAGTATTAAGTTCTGATCGTACAACTTTGCAGTCCTGTGTTTTATTTTCTGTTCTGCTGTTTTATCAATTCTATCCTCTGTCACGTCCACAAGGGAAAAACGGACCCATTGTGTGACAAAGGGTTGCATTTGAAGCATTAATTGACAGGAAAAACGAGTTGGTGTTTGAATCCGGTGGGCATGAATCCGTCTTAGACACGTCTGCATCTGGAAAGAGTGGCTTCATACAATTGGATAGGTACACGAGTGGCACAGATGAGAAGACAGTAGTCACGTTCCTCCACACGACATTTCAGGAGTATAGTGCGGAATACTACTTTGCGCACTTGTATACCGAGAACAAAAGGGAATTTCAAAAGAGGTTGAAAAAGATCAATCGAGACAATGTCAATAAAATGGAATATCTGCTTCAGTTTGCATGCGGCATATCACCGGAGTCTCCGGCTACTGCGCTCATTCTTGAGCACGTACAAAAACAACGTTACAGGCGGAGACATGAGTACGCGGTTATACTGCAGAAAGTGACGTATCAGATGTTATGGGAGTCTGGTTGTGGCAAGCTGGCTGATAAGCTAGACCGACCAACTAACGCGAGATGTGATAGTCAGGAGGATATGATAGCGATGCGCTTCTTCTTGCATCATAGAGGTACAGGTAGAATTAGACGCTTACAGTGTCTCCGTCAGCCACTAGTAGAACTTGAGCGCTTAATTGTCTGCTGCAGATTGCTTGAAGAATTGGTGCCGTTGAGGGGAATAGTAAGCCTACTGCATGATGACACAAAGGTACGCATTGATTTAAGTATCACCGGTAGATTGCATGAATGCCTAAGCTGCTGGGGGAGATACTACCGATTGATAACATCAGGTCAATCAGGAGATTTGAGGTGTCTGTCATCTACACCGTGTCGGATAAACCGGACGAGGAGATGCAGACAGCCGTAGTGGTAGATGAGAGGCTTCATGATCGCATACAGCTTACACTGTGGATTGATGAGAAGTCTCACGTTGATGAGCCTGTGTTAGGATCCCTGTGTCGTGTATGCAAGCAGATCATTAAGACAGTCATGCTGTTGGAGAGGACGTATGCTGACGTCATTAGACTAGTGAGTGCACTGGCTGGTTGTGATAGGTTGGCATGGGTATTTGTGTGCTATACCAACCTTCACGGCCATCTGGCTGATGTAGCCCCTCTTGTTCCTCCATCCCTGGAGTGGTTGGTATTAGAGTCATGTGGACTGAATGATGATGACATCCCTGACCTGATCAGCATCCTCCCTGCCGGGCATGGTTTGGTGGAGCTTGATGTTTCTGGCAATGATTTCAGTGTGGTTGGATTGGAGACTCTTACTGCTCATCTCAGGAATCTACCTAAACTGCACTCTTTTTGGCTTTATTACAACGGTCCCGATGCAGAGTGTATCAGGGAAATGGTCGAGCAAAATCTTCCAAACGTCCGGTCCAGTCTTTTTTATTAAATGATACAAAATATATCATTAATGTGTTGATGTTCTTACCAGTTACATCACCAACATTTCAAATTGGGCAGTTGGGCTATTTCGCTCGAATCTCCAAATTAGAACTGTTGTTGACATCATTGCAGAGACATATTCCTATCATATTTCTGTGTAAATCACAACGTTGGTAAGCATTAAACAGACACATATTCCGTGAAAATACACGTTGAGATAGGCGGGGATCCCGGGGGTTGAGATCGAAAACCCCTTCCTGCTCTGTCACCCAAAAACAAAAACAAAAAATTATAACAATTATTGTAATGATAATTACCCATATATATGTTACCTGTCTGCAAAAATAGGATATAAATAAAAAAAAAAAACGGTGACGGGCATAACAACCTCCCCCCCCCCCCCAAACAAAAATATTCCTGGATCCGCCCCCGTTTAGAAGTATTTCAAATGAAACTAGAAATGTGTTTGTGGACAAACACAAGCTGTTTCGGATATTTGAAATACTCTGTGCACGTGATGAACAATCAATGACGGCACTATAAATGTCATCTATAACAGCACATTATACCATGCACATGTCAAGTCACAACCAAATCGAACATTTTAGTTCTGTAGATATAGACCTATAAAAGAATAAAATGCCCCTTTAAGGGACTTCACATGACATTTGATGATGATATCACTTCAATTTCCATGTATAACACATCCATGTGAATATGCATACCAAGTTTTAACCCAATCAGACTTGTACTTCCGAAGTTCAGTTTGAAGAAAAACGTGCATCTTTAATGTGATGTAACCTGACACTTCATGACGCCACGATGACGAATTTCTTCTAGGACTATCTATGGGTAGTGGTCTAAGTTTGTACCACGTATATAGTCGATCAAATTTACGAAAGTGCCAAAGTGGAGCGTTTTAAAACGTGTACAAAACCTATGGGTAAAATGTGCATCTTTAATGTGAAGTAACGTGTAGCCAAGGGAAGAGTTATTGGTTTGGTCTAGCAGGGAACTCCTCATGTGGCCGAAGGCTACTTATAGTTAATAAATATTGATGTGAAGCGAGTGGACACGGAGCGATGACTAGATTTGATTAATTTATTCGGATGAATCTATACAAAATAAACAGTTGTGGCTCTCTCGAATATATATACAAAAAAACGACAGTCAAATGGGTATACAGTTGTACGTCTGTGGAATTAAAGAAAACAAAAATGGACATCTCATTAGTTTGTTATCATTTAAAAGTACATGTACATAGCAATTCAATTCAGCATTTACAGCTTAGCTCCGCAATGTAAATACGTTAATTTATATGTAACAGTACCATACAATCCTGAAAGAGGTTCAATATATTTTCTTCTCAGAGTTCCAAGGATATGCAATAAATGCATTATAAAATCCTAAATCCATCCATTAATAATAGGCCAGCCAATAATTATTATTGTCAGAGTCCGTTTCCTTTAGGACACACCGTAGTGTTTATGCAAAACCGTGATTCCATCATGTCTATTTATAACACATGTGACTTGCCATCTTATAATGCGCTGTGCAAAACGGTCCTTTTCGGGTCCGCCACCAAACGTGTAGGTAGGTAGGTTAAATCGTGTCCCAAACCCTAACTATTAATGATAAATTTGCTAGATATATTACATAATTACTATGCCATATTCTCTCATTATCATCCCTGTTTCCATTGTGCAAATCTCAAGTCCATGTGCTGAATCGAAAAAGGGTAATTTGGGATTCATTTATCGTATCAATCTGGTGAAAACGTTTGCGGGTAAAGCACATGGTTGTATACAACGACTGTTTCATGTCGGGACATAAAATTACTGTTGCATGTTTTAATCTTAGCTTTTGCTGATAAAATTGGAAAAACTTCAACATCCAGGAATTTAATTATTTAACTGAAGCTATTTGGAATGTGTACATATATTTGTAAAACTTGCCATCGTGTAAACTGGTTGTCATCCATTTAATTTTTCCTTACTTAACAAAATCCAATCAGTTACACAACTAATAAGATAATTCTAACATTTAAACTAATATTTGGCGGAGCCTCATGGTGCATAATACTGCCCATGGTCTCTGAAACAGTGCTTTAGTTTACTTAAGCGTCAGGTAATAAGAGAAACTTGAAGAAGCACGTTCTACTTTAGTTATTGCTTTACATTTCTTGCTAATTCACCTTACAATTATGGCCAATTATGCCTAAAGCTGGTGGGAAAAGGTGATATTTTATAGCATGTATTCCCTTTAATATCGAGAACACTTCTCTTTCAAGCATAATTACAATTGAAGAGAATCAAACCCTTTGTATTATGTGAAAATCTATCCATAGTATCTTTACACAAGGCTTCTACAAAATTTACAATAAAAATTGAAAAGAAAGATATAAAAATTAGGTGTGTACTCACCGCCTAGGCTGAACAACGGTCGTGCCACCACCAAACGAAGGGGAAATTGTCCCCAACTAGCTGTAGTTGAGCTATAATCAGAGCACTTCTAAATTATAGGTGTGGTCTGATCGCAAGCAAGTGGATGAGTCTCTCTAGCAATGCCTTGTCATTACACGAAAGCTAAGTTATGCAGCTCGCAATGCAGCTCAGAAAGTGTTAACAATATTCTGGAATGCAAGGTATGTTGGAATGTTCCTGGCCAATGTAGCTGGTTATGCTAGAATGTGATTGCAGGAAAGTTAAGGAACCAAGCGAGGGCGTTGCAATAAAAAGTTTCTGTAACTACAGAGGGCGCTAATTATGTTATCAAAATAATGGCTCATCATATTGTACAGCCTATGTACTATGCTTATGATTATATTAGAAATGTTACCGAGACCTGCCTGTTGTAAAACACGACAGGTCACACTCGTAACACCTGATGACGACACGATCACGAATTTCTTCAAGGACCCTCTGTGGGTGATGGTCTAAGTGTGTACCAAGTGTAACGTCGATCGGATTTACGAAGATACCAAACTGGAGTGTTTTAAAACGTGTACAAAACGTGTACCGTGTACCGTGTACCGTGTAACGTGTACAAAACACGAAAACAAGAGCTGTTTCGGTGTGTACACCGAAACAGCTAATTACGTGAAGAACATCACGTATCAGACGTTTTTTCAGCGGAATTAGCGTAATGGTGAATGCATTAGTGTTAATTACAATGGAACAATAAAAAAAAAACTACAGATCAAAAAATTACCCGAGCAAAAATACAGAGGAAAGATAAAATTACAAATGTCATCCAAGATTAATTGTAAGTTTAGTAACTTGGTTCATGGTCTGCCTCTGTCCTCTTGTACCTTGTTCACATCCCAGGACTTCGTGAATTCACGCCCCTTGCCTTCCACCTCAGCATGTCTACGAACGTAGCTTGGCATTACAGTGCATGCTTGCCTTTACACAATCGGTACCCGGTTCACATCTTTGCAGTGTGGAATGACTAAATTTCCCTTACCTTCGATATTATCTTGTCCACGGTTTGAATCCAACCAAGACTACTTTGTTGTTTTCTCTGAATGCTCGTTTTACTCAATCTGGCTA